GCATGCATTTTGATGCAGCTCCCTTTTCTCTCCCTTGGGACCTACAGTCCGGACAGTTGACGCATAATCAGCACCAAGCGGCGAGAAATATTAAGAAAGCAGCAAGGTAGGAAAGGAATCAAGTTAATACTAAATGTACATGTAATAAATGATGGTTTCTGAAGCTGCAAGAATGACAAATTATTTGGGGGCATTGAAATACGGAGTAAAGGACTGCATAAGCTGCATAGTGAGTAAGGTTAGCGGCGCGTTGTTCGTCAAGCTGGATGGTCGTTCACACCTGCCTAGGAGAAAAATCCACAGCTGGAATGAAGAGCGAGATCCTGGTAGGCCCGAAAGGTCTGCTCAAAGGGCACAATCAAAGCCTATAAGGGCACATTTGGTAGACAAGAAGTGAAGCCTAAAGAGTCTAGAGTATAAAACAAGTCTCCCACTCATTAGCATCTTCAAGAAGTCTAATTATTCCTCTAATCACAAGAGGCTGTAGAAATTCGGATCCAGGAGAGTACAGTTTGTGGCAGTGCAAAGTTGAGTACTTGAAGTATACTCGACAAGGTTGATTATTCATTTGAATCCAGGATGGATCAGTCAGAGCACAGACACAGGCATGCAATCGACAATTGCCGAGTCGAGCTTAACAGCCGGAGCAATGCCAGTTTCGTCAAGAGAAGCCTTGTGCACCGAGGCAGAGATCAAGTCGGAGCTTCTGTTAGCAGTCCTCGAGGCGGGCACCTGGCAGACGGCTGCTGGATAGGCCGTGACACGACCCGTGATCGTGGACCAGATGTGAAAGAGCAATGCGATCTGAACGACTACAAGCGGAAGAATAGGCAGACCGATAAGGAGGCCAAAGCCGGCGGCCGCATGTCCGATTACCAGAGCCCAGTAGACAGCCGTCTGAAGCGCCAGGAATTGGTACTCCTTGGGTGGGAGACGAAATACAAGTGGCATGATTCATGCAGCAATATGGCAGGATTTCCGGCTAAAAGGAGCGCTACAACTATTGTCAATAATGGACAAAGACGCGTGTAGCGATGACGACTGCCTGTGAGGCCTGGCCAGTGCTGATGACAACACCACCTAGAGCTGAAAGATGCAGAACCAACTCCACCTAATGAGAGAGACACGACAAGAGGCTGATCATGACGAGAGTTTAGGCGTAATCAAGCCTAAATGGGAAAGGGGCGGACCAGGCTCAAGAGGTGACAAGTAAGGCCAGACAAGGCAGCAGAGCACAACTACAGCAACTAAAATGGACACTGGACAGATAAGCCTTAGAGACACGGCATCGAAGGCACACACATACACATACACAGATAGACGTGTGCCACCTACGCTGATCACCATCCAGACGTCTGTCTGTATTTGATAATTGCTAGGCTGTAGTCAGGACTGAGTTGCTTCTAGCCTGAAACTTGTGTGTTTGTACAGCAAATAAGACCAAGCAGCCAGTCGCTATGTCAGAAAGAGTGACGCATGACGTGATAGAGAATCCAATTGCAGCTTTGTAAATAAGGGGACACGTTTAAGCAAGACAGACAAAGGGAGACACAGGTAGACGCGAATATAGTAGAGGATTGAATGGGCAAATATACTGATGATTAAGGCGATATGAGGTCAAAGTCAGGCCGAATGTAGACATTAAAAGAGTGCCAAGGTCTGGGAGGCAAGAGGAGCGATAGAGAAGAAGACGAGATAGAATAAGACATGCAAACCGACGAAGCGCCGATAGGCTGGAAAGGCATATACATTGATTGGTTGATCGGTGGACCAACGGAATTCGTCTGGGTAGATGGACCAGGCCATCGGTCAGGAAGCAGTAGAGTTGAAGGCAGAAATCGGTGAGAGGCCTGTGCAGAAAATCGATCGACCATAGAGAAAAGCACTCGAGACTGCAAATCACTACGTTTACTGTAGGATTGGCGCAGCTAAGGTAGAAGTAATGTTTATGAGGTGTCTGGCTGAAAGCTGGGTCATGGACTCGAGAGGCTCGAGGGGAAAATTAGCGCTAGGCTGAAAAAGGGCGGATAACTGCGACACCTTTAGGCAGTCTTTCATGTAGGCAATTTCGGATTTGGTACACACTGTGCCGAATGACAATCTAGTGATTCTAAGCGCGAGGATACGA